ACTTTAACATTCCTCCTTAAATAACTGAATAACTAGACATGACCTAATCAATTCCTTGAAAAGCACTAATGATCACAATTCACTCAATATGAAGTAGATAATTTGAATAACCTTATAACGTTATAAGGAAATTGAAACCATAATGCAAAACTCCACATAAAGAATTCTCCAGGCCCACATGGTTCCATCAGACAAGCCTACCAAACACTTAAAGAAGAATCAACACCAATTCTACACAATCTCTTGCAAAAAAACAGAAGAGGAGCTAATACTTCCCAATTCATTTTATGAAGCTAGTTGTACCCTGATACCAAAATCAAATACCAAAAAAAAAAAAAAAAAAGTAAATGACAATATCCCTCATGAATATAGTACAAAATATCAAAATATTAGCAAATATAGTTCAGATACACAGAAAGAATTACACACCATGACAAGTGGGGTTCATTCCAAGGATGAAAGTTTGGCTCAATATTCAAAAAACAAACATATTAACAGGATAAAGAAGAAAAATTACACAATCATATCAATTGATACAGAAAAAGCATTTGGTAATATTCAACATCCATTCATGATAGAAACTGTCAGAAACATAGGAATAGAGGGGAACTTCCTCAACTTGATAAAAAGTATCTCCACAAATCCACAGCTAACATTGTACTTAATGGTGAAGGACTGAATGCCTTCCCAAATATTCAACATCCATTCATGATAGAAACTGTCAGAAACATAGGAATAGAGGGGAACTTCCTCGACTTGATAAAAAGTATCTCCACAAATCCACAGCTAACATTGTACTTAATGGTGAAGGACTGAATGCCTTCCCAACAAAGACTGGTAAACAAGAATATCTGTTCTCACAACTCGTATTTAACACAATATTTTAAGTTCTTGACAGTGAAATAAGGCAAGAAAAAGAAATAAAAACGCATATCAATTGGAAAGAAAGGAATAAAACTATTCCTATGTACAGATGGCATGATTGCTTATATAGAAAATCCGAAGGAATCTACAAAAAACACCTAGAAATGGTGAGCTCAGCAAATATTCAGGATAAAAGATCAACATCCAAAAATCAATTGTATTTCTGAATAGTAGCAATGAAAGCTTGGACACAAAAGTTAAAAATACAATATTTATAATTGTTTTTTTAAATAAGGAAATAGGCAAAAACTTATAAAACTACCAAGTGCTGAAGAAAATAAAGATCTAAATAAATGGAGATATACTGTATTCATGGATTGGAAGACTCAACATAGTGAAAATGTCTATTCTCCCCAAATTGATACATAGATTTAATGCAATGACTATAAAAATCTCAGCAAGATTATTTTGCATAGACAAGAGTATTCTAACATTTATATGGAAAGGCAAAGGAACTAGTGTAACTAAAACATTTTTGAAAAAGAATAAAGTGGAAGGATAAGTCTACCCACCTTCAAGACTTACAGTTCGGCTACAGTAATCAACACTGCATGGTACCGGTGGAGGGACAGATAAATAGGTCATTGGAACAGAGCACAGAACCCAGAAGTGGACCCACATAAATAGGCCCAACTGATTTTAGACAAAATTGAAAAAGGGTAGCCTTCTTAACAAATGGTGCTGAAACAACTGGACACCCGTGTGCAAACAAAAAACCCAACCAACAAAAAGCCCCTCAACCTGAACCTCACATCTCCGACAAAAATTAACTCAAAATGGATCATGGACCTAAATGTGAAACTTAAAAATTTTTAGGAAAAAAAATTAGGAAAAAACCCTCAATCTAGGGCTAGGTAAAGGATTCTTAGAGTTAACGCCAAAAGCTTGATCCATAAAAGGAAAACTGGTCTTCAGCAAAATTAAAACATTTTCTCTGTGAAAGATCCTGTTAAGAAGATGAAAAGGTACACTACAGAGTGGGAGAAAATACTTGCAAACTACATTTCTGACAAAGGACTAGTATAAAGAACTCTCAAAACTCAATTAAAAGCCAAACAATCCAGTAAGAAAACGGGTGAAAGACAAGACATGAAGAGGATATACAGATGTGCAAGTAAGCCCATGAAAAGTAGTTCAACATCATTAGCCTGTAGGGAGATGCAAATTAAAACCACAACAAGACATCACCATACAAAAAGCCCCTCAACCTGAACCTCACATCTCCGACAAAAATTAACTCAAAATGGATCATGGACCTAAATGTGAAACTTAAAAATTTTTAGGAAAAAAAATTAGGAAAAAACCCTCAATCTAGGGCTAGGTAAAGGATTCTTAGAGTTAACGCCAAAAGCTTGATCCATAAAAGGAAAACTGGTCTTCAGCAAAATTAAAACATTTTCTCTGTGAAAGATCCTGTTAAGAAGATGAAAAGGTACACTACAGAGTGGGAGAAAATACTTGCAAACTATATTTCTGACAAAGGACTAGTATAAAGAACTCTCAAAACTCAATTAAAAGCCAAACAATCCAGTAAGAAAACGGGCGAAAGACAAGACATGAAGAGGATATACAGATGTGCAAGTAAGCCCGTGAAAAGTAGTTCAACATCATTAGACTGTAGGGAGATGCAAATTAAAACCACAACAAGACATCACCATACATTTGTCAGGATGGCCAAATAAAAAATTATAGTGACGTCAAACGCTGGTGACGATACAAAGAAACTGGGCTACTCGTGCCCTGCTGGTGGGAATGGGAAACGGCAGAGTCTGGAAAATAGTTTGGCAATGCCTTAAGTAATGAAATACACAACCACAATATGATCTGCCAAGTGTCTTAACCCAGAGAAATGAAAACTTATGTTCACACAAAAATCTGTACGCCAACGTTCACAGCAGCTTTATTCATAACAGCCCAAAGCTAGAAAAGCCTCAGATGTCCTTCAATGGGTGAATGGTTGTACTATGGGACATTCATACCACTACACGAGGGGTCTTCAAAAAGTTCATGGAAACTCTATGAAAACTGTCGATACATGCAACAATCTGGATTAATTTCCAGGGAATTCTGCTTAGTGAAAAAAAAAAAAAAAAAACCTGTCTCAGGTTACATCCCATATGGTTCCATTTATATAACATTCTTGAAATGACAAAATTATAGAAACAGAGAACACATAAGTGGTTGGCAGGGCTTAAGGATGGTGTGGTGGCAGAAGGGAGGGGCGTGTGGCTCTTAAGGGCAATAGGTCGGGTCCTCATGGTGATGAAAATGCAGTCAGTGTCTTGATTATCAGTGGAATATTCTGGATGTGACATCATATTTTAGTTTATAAGATGTTATCGCTGGGTAGAGTGTCCATCTCATACACTTGCATGTCAACTTATAGTGATCTCAAAATAAAAGTTTAACCTAATTTTAAAAGGAACATACTGCATAATTCTATGTATCTGAAGTTCAAAGGCAAACTCAGCTACGGGTGATAAAAATCCGAGTGATTGCTTCTAGCGGGGAGGGATGAACTGGGGTTAGCATATGGATAATGGAAGTATTTTGCTGTGGGTGGTCATCACAGGTATGTACATGTATGGAAACGTATTGGGCTATCTACTTATGACTTGTTTTATTTTTTATTTTCTGTGAGTTAAATCTCACATAAATATACGTAAATCTGAAAAGCATTCTATCAATTTCACAAATTATTTTGTCTCTATAATTAGGTCTCAAAAATGTACCGCTTAAAGGATCTTTCCTTCTATTCTATGACGATCTAATAGCTTTTAGATTAATGCTTGCTATAAAATGATGTTCATAACTTATTCTGGTAGCCCCCCTCAGGGCTAAAGAGAATGCATGAACTTAAAAGATTTATAAATAGTAACATGCAGAATGTTAACATCTTGATATTTGAGAAAAAAAAAAAAATCTAGGTAGTGACCATGATGGACTAAACACCTGGGTACTTTCGCTGGGTACCTTCTGCTCAGCTTGCAGGATGACAATTTCATTCAGCAGGTGTCTTTCACTGAGCCCACCTCCTGCGGGGTGCTGGGGTGTGGCACTGTGGCCGGCCAGGTGACTCCCTCCTGGCCTGATGCTGCACTGTGGGGTGGACTAGGACCAACCTTGGACTTCCACTCCCTCGGGGTGCTGGGGTGTGGCACTGTGGCCGGCCAGGTGACTCCCTCCTGGCCTGATGCTGCACTATGGGGTGGACTAGGACCAACCTTGGACTTCCACTCCCTCTGAGCCCACCAAGCCATGGGTGCCTGTGGCACTCGAGAAGGGGGTGCACACCGTGGGATTCAGCTTCCTATGTCCTGACTTAGAGGCTCAGCACCAATGCTGGCCTTTCATGTCAGTGTTTGCTCAGGATTTCAGCAAACAGAAGAAAAAGACCTGTTCCTTACAGTGTGCTGAACACGAAAAGTCCCCATCCCAGAAGGAAAAGCCAGAAAGAATCAAGAGGGATGACCTTGGTCATCGGCAAAAATGAGTGACTATCAGCAGCAGGGCCAGCAGGGCCATGAGAGCCATGCTGGCAGCAGAGCCCTGCAGCACGGGGCCCAGGGAGGTGACGTTGCAAGACCCCCAGGACAGGGTGGACCCCAGTCTGGGGGGCCCAGGGATGGCCAGCACTGGTGGGAGGGAGGGTCTTCACTATGGGTGCAGGACTTTTGGTTTGTTCATAACATGGTGCTTGAACCCAACAGCCTCATTCTCTTCAAGGTATCTGGACAACGCTAACTTCGCCAGGCTGAAACAGCTCTTGCCTTGGATCCGATTCTACGTTCACCAGGAAACGGGGGGTGCCTCAGATATTCTAACCAGGAGGAGCTACAGCCCCACTGTAAACAGTCCACATTCCAGTTATACACCAGTGTACTGAGTTTGGTGTCTGTGAAGCAGTCTGCAAGAACCTGACCAACTCCCATTTCTGGCTATGTACAGCAGATTCCCAAATCCAGAATGTTCCACCCTGCCCCCCCCCGCCATGAGGCCTGTTTCAGTCTCTCTCTCAGTGATTTCTATTTCCGACTCAACAGTGACCAATTTAAATAAAAGGCCTAACACAAAAATCAGGCAAATATGTTTAATTTTTTAAAATAACTGATGGCAAAATAAAATATTTACATCACATCATACTGTGTAAACATGTAAGGTCTCTGTACAAAGAAATATACATGCAAAATAATGTAAAAATTTAACTGAAATAAAAGAAACAATACACAAATAAAAGTCATGAGGTTACGAATACACATCCAGTTTTGAATCCAATTTCTTTTAAAAAGTTTCTGTACAATTTTACAAGAACAAACAAACAAAAAACCAACAAAAGAATAAATAAAATACATTGGAAGCTGCAAAGCTTAACTATGCCAGTTTATGGCTCAAGACCCAGGTGTCTGGCTGGCGTAGAAGCAGGCTGGTCTCTTTTTTAGTGTATTTCACACAACGAAGATAAAAAGACATCCAGAAAAATTCAAGAGTGCCCAGAAACCCAACCTCTTTTATGGAAAGGACTCTTCGCACCAGCATGAATTCTGCCACAGTGACACAGGCATGGGGTACCAGCCTCAGGGCGGCTAGTGCTTAATTGGCTTTTATTTCTTACCAAAAGCTCAAAATCCAGCCAATTTTTGTACAGAAAGTTGCACTTCAAAAAGTCTAAAAAGTAGTAAATGTCCAGACTGATTTTGGAGAAAAAAAAAATAATACTTTGGCATTCTGAATAATAGCATAATAAAATTTAAAACATTACCCTATTATCCAGTTTTATATTCAGAGTATGAAATCACTTTTTACAGTCCTCAAAACCAACAAATGTCACGAAGAGTTAAGTCTCCTGGAACCGATGGCACAGGGCTGCTACCCTACCCCACCCCGCCCCACCCCTCCCCAGCACACACACAAAACCATAAAGCTCACTGTACGAAGTATGTGCTTTTTCTATATATTTATTACAGATACAACAGAGGTCTTCATAAATAGTTGCATAAAATGTTAAAGCCACAACATTGCACATGATATGAAATAAAACCAAAAAACCCCCAGTGAGTGCATTTACAGTATTTTCATCTGACTGTATACTGCTCAACAATCTGACTGACGGCTTGGGGTGGGGCTGGGGGAAGGGGACAGTGGGGGCAGGACCCAACCTGATGTTCTCATTTGATTGGCAGACCCTTGGACTCCCCGAGAAGGCCCAGGCAATGGGTGGGTATGGGAAGGGAAGGTAGGTGGGGCGATGACAGACTGAAGGCAGGAACAGTCTTATATACAAGTAAGGCCTACATTTCATCAGAGCAAAACAATTCATTCTATTTTATGTAAAAGTTTGAGGTTCAATGCATGTTTCAGAAGCCACCTCTGGCGTCCGGTGAGACGCGCACAGACAAGATGGCTGGAAAAGCCCTGGGCCAGGTGAACACCGAGCTCTAGCCGAGGCTGTGGGAGCAGCCGCCACCTGGGTGAGTCTTCCCCAGAGATGTACAGTATCTTTGTTTTGTTCGTTAACACCAGTGGTTGAACATAGGCATTCTGTATCCTTGAATAAATCTTGAAAATGTTAAATTTGCAAAATTCTATTCATGTTCATGTAAAAAAGTATCTTTTTATTTTTTGCAGAAACCTGAATAAAATACTGTGTTACAGCAATGCGATCTCTGCCTCCGGCAGAGTGTAAGCGAAGGTCCTCCACCCCAGCGCAGCTTGCAGCTCTGAGTCCCAAGCACTGCTGAGCACAGCTCACTTGGAATGCAATTTCACACGATGAACATACCGGCAGCTGATCAGTTCGGTTGATTTGTTTCTCTTCAAAATTCAAATTAACAGCTGATTGGCAGGTGAAAGAGAATGAGAAAGAACTTCGAGACAGGTCAAACTTTAGGCAGAAGCCTGCTCTGTAAGAAGTTTTTAATGCTACGGATAGGTCGAACATCATTCTGGTGTTTGCGCCGCTCAATGAAGGAAGTCAGTCTGGACGTATCGAGGACGCCCGTGCCTTTGCCATTGCCGGCCTGCAGCCACTGCTCCTGGAGGGCCAGTGCAGCCGAGGGACGCTTGGCAGGGTCCTCCTGCAGGAGGAAACACACGAACTCCTTGGCCTTCTGGCTAACTCCTTTAAAGTAGTCATCTGGGAAACTAAAGTCTAATCGGCAAATGTTCAGGCAGGTCTCTTCCACACTGTCATCCAGGAAGGGGGATACGCCGCTAAGAAGGACATATGTGAGCACTCCAACACTCCATGTGTCCGAGGTCAGGGAGACAGGGTTCCCAAGGATGATTTCGGGGGCCGCAAATTCCGGGTTCCCTAGTAACTGGTGGATGTAGTAGGTCGTGTTGAGTTGGACAGCATCTCCAAAGTCAGCCAGTTTAATGGTTGGCTTGGCTAAACTCTGATCCACCAGGATATTTTCAGGCTAGAATACAGGATAAGACAACTGTCATTTTCAAACAAGCCCAATCTTAAACTTATTTGTGATGACTGTCAGGAGTCTGTGGTGAGGTACAAGGAATGCACAAAGTCAGCTACAACAAACTTCACGTGCACAACAGGAAGGACCCCTCAGCATGTAAGGAGGAAAAAAGCGCTAGAGGAACTGCTGCCCTGGCTCGATGCAGAGCAGCTCTCTGGAAATCTAAGGGCCAAGGAGCCTTATTAAACAAAGCCAGTCTATGAGGCTGGGTATTCACGTTTCCTCCTGGCACTAAGAGGAATACTCTCTTCCCCTTCTAAGTTACCACTGACCCAGTCCCATACCCACTGCGCAAAACCCATAGGAACTTTCTGAAAGTCTCACGAAACGCTGGAGGATCACGAATGTTCACCAGTCAGTACGTTACCATTACGGACTGCTGACCCAGTCCCATACCCACTGCGCAAAACCCATAGGAACTTTCTGAAAGTCTCACGAAACACTGGAGGATCACGAATGTTCACCAGTCAGTACGTTACCATTACGGACCACACACTGCTGAATACAGACTCTCGGAGACAGAGGTCAGGAATCAGTGCTCCCATTCCCACCCATCCCTGTCTGTCCCCAGTCTCCTGCAGGGCTCCTGGCCTGCCTTCAGAAGTCAGGCTATGAGAGGGCCTCCCGCGTCCCATGTGGCTGAGCTCGGCCTGGTCAGACCTGCCCTAATCCGGCCCCGGGGCCCGCTGACCTTTAGGTCCAGGTGTGCTATCCTGCAGTTGTGAAGGTACCGGATGGCTTCCAGAACCTCCCCCAGGTGCCCTCTGATCTTCCCTTCAGTGAGGCTTCCCCATCGCACCACGCAGTCCAGGAGACGACCCTGGTCAGCCCTACAGAGGGAGGAAAGAGTGACTCTGTCATGATGTTCTTCAATGTACACAACTCTTCAGGCCAATAAGAAATAAACACATTGAAAATGTCCCCATTATGAGTGTTTCACCACTATTTTAGGGTCGTACCTCCACCTGAAGGCACAACTAGACAAGGAGGGTGATTTTTTTTTGGAGCTCATTGTGGAGATGCCAGTGGGGAACAGAGCAGTCGGGGACCCAGCCCTGCTTCTGCTGATGGAGGGGATGGCATGGGTGAGCTACTGGGCCATATCCTGGCTTGCAGCAGCTACTCTGCAGGCATCTGCTGAAGGAAGGGAGGAAGTTACCTGCCCCCTGGAGCCTTGGCTTCCCCTCTGTAAAATGGGCCATGTCAATACTGAGTGAGATAATATAAGCAAAGAATCAAGACAACTGTCATTTTCAAACAAGCCCAATCTTAAACTTATTTGTGATGACTGTCAGGAGTCTGTGGTGAGGTACAAGGAATGCACAAAGTCAGCTACAACAAACTTCACGTGCACAACAGGAAGGACCCCTCAGCATGTAAGGAGGAAAAGCATAACTTCGTATAGCATACATTATACGAAGTTATACGATTGTGAAGGTACCGGATGGCTTCCAGAACCTCCCCCAGGTGCCCTCTGATCTTCCCTTCAGTGAGGCTTCCCCATCGCACCACGCAGTCCAGGAGACGACCCTGGTCAGCCCTACAGAGGGAGGAAAGAGTGACTCTGTCATGATGTTCTTCAATGTACACAACTCTTCAGGCCAATAAGAAATAAACACATTGAAAATGTCCCCATTATGAGTGTTTCACCACTATTTTAGGGTCGTACCTCCACCTGAAGGCACAACTAGACAAGGAGGGTGATTTTTTTTTGGAGCTCATTGTGGAGATGCCAGTGGGGAACAGAGCAGTCGGGGACCCAGCCCTGCTTCTGCTGATGGAGGGGATGGCATGGGTGAGCTACTGGGCCATATCCTGGCTTGCAGCAGCCACTCTGCAGGCATCTGCTGAAGGAAGGGAGGAAGTTACCTGCCCCCTGGAGCCTTGGCTTCCCCTCTGTAAAATGGGCCATGTCAATACTGAGTGAGATAATATAAGCAAAGAACCAGCCAATAACACAACACAGTAAATGATGAATGTGGCACTCAAAAGTCTTCCCACTCAGAAATCACTTTTAGTATTTAAAAAGCATTTACACACGCTGCTAACGTGCCAGGGACTAAATACCTTCTATCAATTTATTTAATCCTCATGACTCTTTGTGCTTCACTGTCCCCATTTTATAGATGAGGAAACTGAGGCACAGAGAAGGTAGGAAACTTTCCCAAGTTCACAGGTAGAGAAGCCAGAGTTGGATAGAGGTGGTCTGGGCTGGGCCTCTCTGAGCACTGGCCTAATGCCGCCCTTGTTTGCAAAAGAGAAATTTATAGGACGATCAGCCACCTGTCTAGTAAAGGAGAGTGATCAATGAGACTCTGGTAGTAATTTGTTATGAAAATAAATCCTGTTAACATATGGTGAGACCAAATCATGTAGTTTTCCAGTGACCAGAATGACAGCTGAAAGCACTGAAATTTTACACCCTAAATGGAAAATTTTACACCAGAAAAGGCCTTTGAGTTGATTTCTGACTAGGATCAAGTGATAGTTCTTATTCAAAATCCCTGGGGAGAAGGAGCAGGGGCTGTTGGTCGTCCTGTGTCTACAGCCGGGAAGGAGCTCCCAGGCCAGACTCAG